ATTTTTAATGGATTTTATTAAAGTTAAATACTTATTTAATAATAATTAATAACTATTTATAATCAAAATTAACTTAAATTATATTAATTTTGTTATTTGAATTTTGAAATACTAAAATCACCAATTATTGGCCGAAGAAACCCAATAAATGACCGAGCGTTCTCCAATTAATTCACCGCTCAAATAATATTATAAGTAATTTTGTAAACTACATTTATGTAATTAAATTTATGCAGTACTTTTGAAGTATTAACGACATCTTTAACAAAACTAAACATACAATATAATTTTAAACCGTACTTTTTTATAAAATAATATAAATAATAGCAATAATTAACATAAAGTCACATTTCTTTAGGTCAGAAATAATCACAAATTCATTTTAATGACGATAATTCTTCTGATTCACTTGAAATTTTTTTATTCTTCTCCTTCTTTTTTTCAATTAAAGCTTTTTTACTAGCTTGTAACTCTTTTTTATTTTTTCAATTGCTTAGCAATTTTTTCTTCTAATAATTCATTCTTTGATATAACCGTTCACTAAAAAAATTAGAACAAAATAAAATTTAATAATCAAAAAAGATTTTAAGTATTATTTTAATTGTAAATATACATTTTATAATGATTATTTTTATATTTACAAAATATTGAATGACTAAAGTACTTTAAACACTTGACAGATTTAATTTTAAGGTGAAGAAGTTAGTATTATAAATATACGGTCATTAATTGGATTGTGATAAAATCAGAGGGTCTAATAAATGACCGAATGAATTTTTTACTGGGTAAAGGGCTTCTGACGGATCCAATAGTTGACCGGTTTTAAAATAATATTAAAACTTATAATTTAACTTTATTTTTTCAAAAAAGTTGGAATCTGATCTTTAATTAACATAATAAAACTAAAATATTTTATATTATGCCGACAAATATCACTAAATTAATGATAAAATGCACTCACTCTCCAATTGTACGCTAGTTATTTTTGACCGCTTTATAGCTGGTTGCGTTGTAAACAAACTCAGAATATTTTTTTAAAGCTATAATCACTAAGCAATTAATTGCGTAATTTTTTATTATGATGATTAAATGCCATATTTTTTTATTTTAATCCTTTAAAAAAAAAAAAACCCTTGTAAAATATTAATTAATTAACTTTTTTATACATCGGTCAACTAATTGGTGACCGGTCAACAACTGGTGCATTTACCCTAGTCAGAAATTTTCTAAAATATAAAAATAATTTATTTGTTAAAAAAATTAAAAATTTCTATTTAAATTGAAAAATTAACAATTTATAAATTGATTTATTAATTATGATTATGATTAATATAAATCATTTTTTTGCAGACTTGTAAACTCAGATGCACTAGCGAGGGGTGTCGACATCCCGGATGTAACATTAGTAATTTCTTATGACTTGCCAAAGTATATTAAAGGGTACATCCATCGATCTGGACGAACTGGTCGAGCGGGTAAACTTGGTACCGCTATATCTATTCTGACCAACAACCAAATTTCGGCATTTAATCGAATGCTCGCGTCAGCACGCAAAGTTGTCCCGACAATAGAAACGTTTGACTCATTGGAAACTGTCGCCGAGGAAATAAATTACGCTGATAAATTGACTGAATTGGGAAAAATAATTAGTAAAGAAGAAGTTAAGAGTAATAGTAATAATAATAATACTAATAGTAATAATAATAATAAATCTGCTGATAAAAAAGGCAAAAAAAGAGTTGCGGGTGATGATAATAACTCGAAAAAAGACAAACGTCAACGGAAAGAGTCTAAGTGAGTTTTTTTTTTAATTTATGTATATAAATTTTAATAAAATTTTGGAAATTTAAAAGTGCATAGATATTCTTTTATTTAATTCAAATTATTGTATTTTTTATGACCTAATTTTAATGATTTAAATCTCAAATAGTTCCTTGAGAAATTCTAATCAATTAACTAGCTTATACTTTTTTTCCATTTCCAATAGTTTCCAAGTTACCGCAAATTTTATAACAAATCTTACTAAAAATTTCGCTGAATTACAAATTACATGTTCGTGGGTTCGATTCCCGTCAACATTTTTTTTTTTAGTTAATAGATTTGTTTCGAATAAGAAAAAATAAAAATAAAATTCAACCTAAATTAACTAAATAAAAATTAATTAATTCGGTAAATTAATATCTTTTACATAAAATTATTTTAGATTAATCAGAGTACATAACAAAAAGTTTTTAAAATCCAAAAGTCCGCGACTGACAATGCTCATTGAATTTTTATTAAAAAAAAATATTGTATTGCTAATTTAAAGAGTAAAATGCAGAAATAAGGACTAATTTATTATTGTTAATTATTTAAGGTAATTTATATTCCAAATATTTCGCGGTATTTCCCTTACTCACTCAACTCAGCTCCATCTGTTATTATAACACGCATGCGCATTAGGAATGAAATTAACCCCGCGTTTCTTACATAAAATAATTACTTTTGTTTAATTACACTGTACTTTCTTAACAATTGACATTTTTAAAGATATAAGCTCATCCGGCTGTTACACTCATCAAGAGCTTTCATTTGAGTACCCACATGCATTTTCATACATATAATATATATATATATATATATACATTAGGGTGGCGCAAAAAAACCGACTATTTTTTTTTAAGTCTCGAGTGAAAAAATGTTAGTATTTGATGTTTTAAGAGCCCTCACCAAAGGACAGCTCAAAAAAAAATTTTTAAGAGGTCACTCCAAATTTTTCAAAATTTCAAAAATCGTCAAAAATCAAAAATTTTTTTTTTAAATTTTTTTTCTCGTTACGGTATAATCTTATAGACTAAAAAAATAAGTTTACTGAAAATTTTTTCAGTTAAAAATTCGAATTTTGAAAGGTCGCTCATAATTTTTTTTATTTTTCGTTAATTAGTCAAATCGCCGACTTTAAGTGTTGGGAGTGATACGTTGGGGTCTTTTTGGTTTGAAAAAATCGTAACCTACGCGGCAAGGTAAAATCTCAACCAAGCTGGTTTCTAAAACCAGCTTGGGATTCGAACTCACGCCTGACAGTTGATTAAATAAAATTATTAAATTAAAAAAAAATTACATTTTCTATGTTGTGCTTGATTTTTAGTTCATCTCGAGATGTATTCTTATCGATTATTGTACTAAATAAAAAAAAAAAAAAATGCGGG